TTTTAGCACTTGGTTTATGCACACATTAACACATGAAACTGGTTTTAAGTACTTGTTATGTGGCTCAAAGTTATGCCACTCCAGAGCAGGATTATCTCTGATCCAGGTTACCCAGATCATGTTATACAAAGGTGCAGCCACTCCAGGCTATGCCTTAATGTAAACACCCCACCTGCCCCACCTCCCCTGCTGGCCCAAATCGGGCCCACTTCCCCTCCTTGCCCTCCCCAGTCCACCAGATCCCCACTAACTGCACCCCCCTGCCCCCTCCCATAGCTTACTTGTGGCTGCCCATGCTGTCTCTCCCAGGGGAGCAGGTAAGGAAGAGTTAACAAGCAACGAAGGGAAGTGGTGGGGGTGAGCCCTGAGGAGCCAGGGTGGAGCCCTGGGAATGGGGGCAGGGAAAGGAGGAAATAGGGGAGCCCCAGGAGGGAGGGAGGAAGCCTGGAATTGGGGTGGGAGGGGAGGTGGGGATTCTTACCTTTCAATCCTCCAGGCCCTGCTGGTTTGAACACATGACTGTTTCAAACTCACCACTAACACTGATCAATATTTGTGTGGCCCATAGTGTAACATATAACAAAGCCCTAAGTTAGTAAAGTCTGTTTTTTCTTGGATGGAAAACGCTTTTTGACAAAATGGAAATCTTCATTAGAATTCAATTTTAATGGAAAACCACAACCTGGGCTTTTGTATTTTGTTTGTCAGGAATAAATGAAAATGTATAGCTTTTTGAGAAAACTAAAAAAATCAGAAGAACAATATCCACAAAATTGAAAAAAAAAAAAAAAAGAATTTGTTTCTGAGGCGGAAGAAATGATTTCCCAGTGAGTCTACTCTGAGAGGTGATATGTCTGAACATCAACATAAGAAAGATGGGAATTAATTATTGAGGTGCATGTGATCATACTTGAGACATTTTTTACAACCTGATTTTGTAGGGTCTTAGGTAATGATTGGCTACATTTCATTCAACAGTCCTAATAAATGATTTCTGCCCTTAATATCTATACGTGCAAATCAGTGCAACCATCCAGTTGTTTCTTTCCCCTCTCTCTGCAGCAGTGTTGACCAATATTTCTCTCTACCCTCCTCCCCCAAGTGAAGCAGCAGAGCTTCTTTTGTATAAAACATAATGCTGCTGGGTGCCACAATTTTTTTGAGGAAGTTGGTAGCAGAGAGAGTTAAAAACTTGTTTTAGAAACAGTCCTTGTTTATGGAAATCCACTGCTTTCAATGAAATAAGGTGGCAGAACCTGTAAGAATCTCTCATTAGAATATGGAAGCATGTGCAGAAGTCAGATTTCCACATTGCACATCAGATATGCCAGTTTAGATCCTGCTTAACATCTCAAGGGAGGATCTGGCCTGGAGCTGGCTCTTCTACAGTAGAAAATTTAGGCAATGGATGAAAATGTTTATTTTTATTATTAGCCTCAACATAATATGTCTTTGACGAGTAACTTTTTCAATTTTTTTTTTGGAAAAATACCACTTTATTCAAAGTCAAAGTCATGAAGATTATGCATTAATATGGAATGCACTGTTGCTATTTCTGAATCTCCCACCAATTAAAAAAATGTTAGGAATTCCCCAAACGGCACCTCTTTATCCAGGCCACTTACAAATGTGGTTAAAAAGAACAAAGTTATATCTTCAGAAAGGAAGGAGACTTTTGAGTCACATCTGACACATTTAACTGCAATGACTACTTTCCATAGTTCAAGGTTTTAACTGTCTATCTTACTACTGTGTAAAAGCGTTTGATAATGATTAGTCCCTGATGCTTATCCTGTTACAGGATACTTATACACATGCATGAGATACCAAGGGGAGGGTTAAGAATGTACTCAAGACCTTGTGTTTTCCAAGTGTAAAACCACTGGTAAGACTGCTGGATCAAATCAAACTCTAGCCTAATGTGTTTTGTTACCTTTCTGTTTCACCCAAGATCAGGTCTGTCATATTTCTATGTCTAGATATTCAACCTACATGCTAAACTGCAGGTGTGGAGAAATAGACTCCGCAAAAATAAAAAATACAGCAGGGGAGGAGCCACCATTGTATTTTTGTCTGCAAGTTATAATTATGCACCCAAGTACTCAGACAGAAATACAACATTCCAAAGAAAAACAGGACTTTGTATGAAAGCAGGATGACGTCAGGAGGGGGATATAGCAACAAAATGGTGGTTATCTCCAAGTTATGGTCAGTTCTCTATTAAGAGAAGTCCCTTTTTTCAAAAGCTTTAACCAATGTAACACTTAAAATATCAGCTGTAGCAAGATAAATATATTTAATAAGTTCAAAGGAGTAAGGAAATAGGATTTCAAGACAGAAGCCACAAACTGGGAAAATGCAATATCCTTTGATGACAGATAAAGGCAAATAAAAATATGTCTTGAAAATCATGGTCTGCCTGAGCCAAAAAGAACCATTCAGTTACCAAGTGTAAGGCCTGCTAGATGCTTTAGTCAACAGCACACAGAGGAATGAGGTGGGCAGCATTCACATCTGGCTGCCTCTGACTCCCTGACCCAAATAACCAGGTAGTCATATATAGCTGGGTCAATGGGCAGAGGCCTTTGACACCAGTCTGGAAACAGGGCTCTAAATCACACCTCTGAAGCTGTAATGAGACAGCTGAACAGTGCTGCCACTGCACCCTTTATTTCTGAAAAGTACAATCATGAACTATAACTCTATAACAATACAGAGCCAAGCAGATATTCTCTTGCAGTATAATATCAAACTGATTCCTGCAAGCCTTCCATGGGTTGAACTGTCTTTGCCTTTAGGGCTGTTCTGTGCATGAAGGACTTGAAGAATTAGCTCCAGATTTGGCCTTTGAAAACACAAAGTCAGTGGCTTTAGTTCACTCTGCTGCACTCATCTGGACTACCTAGATATATTATATTATTGTAATAATCCTCAGCTTTCTATTTTTAAAAGAAGTTTCTAGCTGCACATTTGAAAATATGATCAAATCACTGCCTGAAAGTTTGTAATAGATTTTATCTAAGACAAACCCTTTATCTATATTCCAAACTAGGAATATCAAGGCCAGAGATCCCTTTACAAGGCCCCTAGATCTGTTTATAGTTTAAGGGATGTTTCATAGGCAGGCCATAGCTACAAAACCTACAGAACTGCTGGAACTCTATGGAACAGTGACTTGGGAAAGGATCTTTGTAGGAGGCACGCAAACAAACATGCACTCCTAGGGTGATGCTGTATTAGAAAGGCCTAAGGCAATCCTTACATTGATAAACAGCAGGGAGTAGTGACTAGAAATAAGAGCAGGTGGTTTTATAGACAGCAATGATGAGACTGATAACAGAATAATGTATACAGTTCTGTTGTCCATATTTTAAAAAAGGATGTTGAAAAACTGAAGAGGGTGCAAAATAGAGAACTATTATTTCAAGCCTGGACAAAATGACTTTGTTATGTCATTGGGAGAAAATACTGGATAGTACAAGAATCTTTTATTTAGGACAGGGATGTCCAATTTCCCAGCGGACAGAAGATGCACACCTCCCAGGCCACATGCCACGTAGGTCACACACCATACCCACACAGCACTGCACAGGCTTCCCCATTGTACTGCACCACAGGTGTCCTCCCCTGACCACTGTGCAGTGTTGAGCCATGCAGCACCATACAGGCACCCGCAAGCTGCAGGCTCTCTGGTGGTGTTCTGAAGGAGGGAAGTGGAGCCAAGAGACTGTGGTGGCGGCAGCAGGAGGGTAATGAGAGAAATGGCACCTGGACCACAAGCCCACATGCCACCTGTTAACCTTTTGCAAGCCACATGCAAACTGCAGGCCAGCTGTTGGACAGTCCTGACCTACATGACTAAGGCACCACAAGAACCACCAAATACAACCAAAAGCAGAACAAATACAAATGGAAAAGAAGGTGTATCTGTTTAACAGAAAAGTTGATTCACAGAACAATTTTATGCAGTCATACTGAAAGTGCTGCACAGAATCAGAGTAATTGTCGCTTCATGCAACACAGAGATTTAAATATCTCTGAAACACAGAGATTTACTTGCATGACCTGGGGATAGCAGGGCAGACCCTATGAGGAGAGGCTACAGGACCTTAACCTGTTCAGCCTTCGCAAGAGAAGGCTGAGAGGGGACCTGGTGGCCGTCTATAACCTTTCTAGGGGGGGACCAGGGGGGAATGGGAGAGACCTTGTTCCCCCAAGTGCCTCGCGGAGTAACAAGGAATAACAGCCGTAAGTTGTTAGAGAGTAGGTTCAGACTAGACATTAGAAGGCATTACTTCAAAGTCAGGGTGACTAGGATCTGGAACCAACTTCTAAGGGAAGCTGGTGCTGGCTCCTACTTTGGGGGTCTTTAGGAAGCTTGATGATTACCTAGCTGGGGTCATTTGAGCCCAGTTTTCTCTTCTGCCCAGGGCAGGGGGTCCGACTAGAAGATCTGCAAGGTCCCTTCCGACCCTACTTCTATGACTTTATGAAAATAAGGTCAGCACCCATTTAAAGCGGTGGCCCTGACTGGCTCAGTTGGGGTCAGAGATAGGCATGTGCTAGGACCCAGCTACTAGTGCTTTTCCCTATGATTAGGGACCACTGTACTTCAGGCTCCAGCAGGGGAGAAGCGGGCTCCCTGCAGGCTCACCAGAGCCAATTTCAGGTGTTTTTCAGGGTTGGCTCTCCTACATCTATGATTGGCTGAGGGAGCCCACCATGGGGCTGATTACCATTGAACAGCAGCACACAGACTGTTCTTCAGCTGTTTTAAAAAACACCACTCACCACTTATTAAACAACAACTTTTAAGTAAAGCTTACCGCTTAGAAGCTTACCACAAACTTAATGAAACCATAATAAATAAACTTTATTAACCAGCAATTTTTACTGAGTCCTAACTTTTAACTCTCCTGGGCCCTGCTCTGCCCTGCCAAGCATAGAAGGAGAGGGGGAAATTCCTCTTTGCTCCTGTGTAACAGCAAAGCAAAATGGAGGGGGGGCCATGCCAGGTGGGGTGGGTGGGCACCCTGTGCCCCACCCCAGGCTGTGGGGACAGGCGCCTGGCATGCCTGTGCCCACAATCCCTAGGGCAGGGTGTACTTACCTGCTCCACTCTTGGCAGGACTCTTAAACTCTCTGCCAAAACAAGGAATCAAACAACCTGATTGGTTGAGCCCTGGCAGGTGCTCTGCTTGTACTAAGCAGCCCCTGGAAACACGTGGGGCTTCCACAGTGTTTCCAGGGCTCTGCTGCCTTTCTTCTCTGTGCTTCAGGTCAGTTTTGTTTTTGTTCTTTTTTGGGGGCGGGGGGGTTAACTTTTTTCCCCTGCCTTCCCTCTCCCATATAGTTTCAGGCCATTTCCAGCCAAATTGCAGTTTTCCAGGGCTTCAGGGGAAACCCTAAATTTTGGGCTTTCCCCTGAAATCCTCTGCAGCCCAAATTAAAGTGGCCCCTACCTATGATGGCATGGGGAGAGTGACTTCTGCCAAAGTTCCCCACCACCAAATACCTCAAAAGCCCCATATCCACAGGCTAGATCAAATGGCTTTGTGGGCTTTATCTGGCCCACAGGCTATACTTTGCCAACCCCTGGATTAAAATATTAACATTTTATACCATGCCTAGCACCTAGCACAAAGCTGTTTATAAAAAAAGAAATAATACTCTTTTAAAAATCCTTAATAGCTCTGGATAAATACCTCAACATGTTTCTGTAAGCATTTGATTCTAAAGTTGAAATTTGTATTATCAAAAATGATACCAATCATGCATTTTAAGTAAGTATAGAAAACCAATTAGATTAGATTTAAAGCCTACAAAACTAAATGAAAAAATTTACAGAAACAATAACATGTGACCAACATAGCCAATTCAAATTAAATAGAAGTTCTTACATTTTGAATACTTGTAATGAATGATTCCATGATGATCTACAAATCAAATATTACTCCTAGAAATTATTTACTGGATAAGTCTGAGTAAGAAACGTAAAAGATATCTGCAGATAATTAATGAACTTAAACAGAACAAAATAAGAAGCTAGATTTACTGAATAAATTATCTACTACATTTTGTTATCCAGTTGTGTCATAGGAGGCAACATTGTCCTTTTATAGTTGAGCACAAGTATATAACATCTAAAATTAATTTTATGTCAAGAATAAAATATAAATTTAAACATCTTAGATTAGCTATATTAAATAAACAAAACATTGCTAAGAGTTTTCTCTTTTTGTATATGTTTTTAATGTAAGATACTTCTTACATATGACAATTAAAGTAAGAATTGACATATGTAAGAAGAATCATATGTAAGAAGTGTCATATGTAAGAAGTGTCATATGTAAGAAGTTAGTCAACAGTGGTATTTACTGCTACTCTATCTATTGCATTATGGAAGTACAGGGTTTGTGACATAAGGAGTATCTCAGTGAACTAAAATCAGTTCTTTCAGCCAGTTTTTCTATGGGTAATATCATGGTAATGTTTTCTTTTACACTTAAAGCCAGATTGTTTTTTCCTGAATTCAGGATGCTGCAAACTGTATATCCCTTTGCACTGCTGTGGGAGTTGCTTAAAAGAAGACTTATCAATTAAATCATTGTTACTCTTTAGCATTCCTACAAAAGGTGAAAGTTGATTGTCCTGCAGCCTCAATAAGCAGACTGCTTCAGAGATGTGTTCACTCAGCACTAATGTGGTTCCTGGTTATCCAAAACATATCTTCTCCCCTGCTGCCACTACAAGGATTGTGCTGGGCCAACTGAGTTTCCTTTCTGCTACAGAGTAGATTGCAACTACTGCCTCTGGCACATGTTACACTTAAGACATAATTAACCATTTAATGTCTTAAATTGTTACCTGGCTCCATGTTGATGGAATTCATAGTGTATGATACCCAATAGTGTAATAACAAGGAATAAGCCACAAAGTTGTTACACAAAAAGTGTGTGCTAACTTTATCGCTGGTATCACACCATTAAATGAATGTGTCATCAGGCTGGGGCTCCCAGCTGTGGGGACACACCATGCACCCACATGGCTGGAAGTCATCGTTTCATAGTTGTTAGGGTTGGAAGGGACCTCAATAGATCATCAAGTCTGACCCACGGCCCTAGGCAGGTTATATGACCCCAACCAGGTGCCATACGACACCAGCACTCTTTCCTGCCCAGGGCAGGGGGTCGGATTCTATGATCTATTGAGGTCCCTTCTGACCTTAACAACTATGAAACTATGATGTCCAGCCATGGGGGTGAATGGTGTGTCCCCACAGATGGGAGCCCCAGCCTGATGACACATTCCATTGGTGACATGTAGGGGGTGCACGTGGGTGTACGTGCACCCCCTAAGATCAGCTGTGCACCCCCTGGAAGCACCAGCCCTGAAACCAGAAGTGAACTTCTGGTTTTGCCACTGGCTTGGCGATCGGCCACTGGGAGACACCCCTCCCTCCTCATTAGCGATATGGTGCCCCCCCCCGACTCAGGAGGAACCAGTTGCCCATGACACATTTAATTAATGGTGTGATTAGAACCAGCCACAAAGTCCCATCAGCTGACAGCTTCCAACCTTGAAGGTACAGGAGCCCAGGTTAGGTAATGGCTCCCAGCATTGGGGGCACAGCCATGAGAGCTGTCTACTTGCTGGTACAGGGGGAGCCTGGGATCACAATCCCAGGCTCCCTCTATTCCATCAATAAGGCATGATGGGATCTGATGCTCAATCCCACAATCATGCTTCCTGCCATGAACATATGGTGTGGCAGGAAGTGTGATTGTGTGGATCAGGCATCAGATCTCCTCACACCTTCACTTACACATCTGCCAAGGGCCTACCTTCCACCACTACAGGTTCAACCTCCTACACCATAGTCAGATTTCCCACCACTGGATTACTCTGCTTAGGGTTACAGCAGAGAAAGTGCTGGGCTTGGGAGAACTTTTTGCTTCTGAAAGACAAATCAAAAGAACACCATTTTAATGTAAAATGAAGTTTGCAGTAACTAATTAAAGAATATCCTCCCTAATGTAGAGAACTGACAGGTATTCTACTACGTAGATAGATGAAATCTTTTAATTGATTTATGCATCTCAAGTTGTCCAAGGAGTGTGACAAATGGCCCTGCATGGTGAACTTTCAAATCTGGATATCCAATATAATTAGGAGATGCATAAACTTACATATAGCCCAACAGGACCATACTGAATATTCAGGAAGCTCCAGCATGTTTTTTTAGCATGGCTTAAGTGAAAGGCAAAGTTTTTTTATGTTGAAACAACTGCATAGTTGGGGTGATTTAGACAGCTTTCAGGCATAAGGTACGTTCCCTCGAGTCTTAGAAAGAAGTAGACATAATTGACCTAAGTGTCAGGTAGAACAATAACCTATATAAAACTCTATATGTATGGTTTAAATGACACTAATGGGGCTCAGTTATTTCCCTTCCAGAGCCATGTATAGAAGGCCTCTCCACATGCAGAAAACAAATCAGCTGAATCTGCAGTATCCTCTGAAAAACATTCCTACCAGGGCCTGGAGTCCACAAAGAGAACATAGATTAATAATGGGGAGGTATACAAACCACCCATCTAGCCTTAGCAAGGTTCCCTTTGAGAAATAATATGGCCTTTCTGGTCCAACCTATTCATACTGGATGAATATGAAACTAGAGGTTTCCTGGGAAGCAATATCAACTTATATACAGTGGTCAGATATATATTTTTTATTTCAAATGAATTAATAAAAAAGATAACTACATCTAGTTAACAAACTAAAATATTTACCAAATAAAAATGACCTATTTGAATGCTGTCTTTATGCAGAATACATACATGAAATAAAACAGTATATTGCAGGCTTTGAACTTTTCAGACTGATTTTCCTTCATATGACTACATCCTTTTCAACCCTGTTATTTGTCCTTGGCATTAGCTCCTTCTTTCTATTGGTTTAATTTCTGTTTTTAACTTTTGGCACCTCCATTTCAAATGTATGAACTTAAAAAAAGAAAAGAAAAGAAAGAAAGAACCAGCTGTACAAACACCAGTCATTTAAAAAGGAAAGTGACTTTCAATAAGTGTTGACTTTTATTGCAAAAAGCTCTGGAAAAGTACGTATCAGAAAGACTGGCATTTCCACTGTAATTTAAATCTAGCTTTATTAATAAAAATGTTAATACATTATAAAAATAGAAATATAGTATACCTACGGTTAAACCAAGTACACTGGAAGGATATAAGTCATCTTTAATAATACTTTGATTTGTAGCCTTCATGACTCTGTCTTCATTTTATTTCAAATGCATTTGAAAAATGTCTATAAATAGCGAATACTGACTGAATGTATAATTTTAGACTAATTCTTTTTAGCGTCTGAATCCTGCAGTAGTCTAGTGGATGAAACAGAGTCCTTTCATTTGAGAAACTGTAAAGTCTGAGTAGCAAATGGAAAGCCACAGCATAGAATTTACAACACATTATTCAACATCAACCCAGAAAGGATGCAGAGTTGCTTTACAAATATACAGTTTTTCATATAGGCTAAATGCAGACAGTCAAAAGGCCCAAGGCTGAATTGATTCAATCTTTACAGGTTCATCTAAGCCAGAGGTGGGCAAAATATGGCCTTGCAGGCCAGATCCGGCCCATAAGGCCATTCATCTGGCCCACAGAGCCCCTAAAAATTTACAAAATTTAATATTTATCTGCCCTTGGTTCCTGTTAAAAATGA